TACTAAAAGCATCAAGGAAGAGATGACATTAATATAGCTCTTTCACCTCTGGGGGCTGTCAAGTTACCCTGCAGAAGTCTGGTAACACAGCATCCATGACTGCCTCTGTCTCTGAATATCAAACAGCAAAATCTATAGGCACTGTAACTCAGGTGTACATTTACTACAAGCATCCTATGAAGGATCATGGATCTCAGAATCATTCACAGGAAACAAACTTTGATTGAAGGACCAAATTGGGCTCAGCAGACGTTACCTCAGCTCCTGTGCCCTGACACCACTGGGCACTCTTCCTGCCCAACTCTCCTGCGATCATACAGTGTTTCCCCCCTTTGTTTGCTCTTAGTAACCACTGCTGTTCACACAAGTGGAACTGACACATGAGAGCTAAGCAGGCAGCTTGATGGGTTAGCAACAAAGTTTTTCCCCTTTCCAACTCAAGCACAGTCTTGGCCCTACACCCATGAGAGCAGACACTTCCTATGTGGGTTTTTATGAAGTTAACTCTTTGTGGATCCTTCTGTTTCTGAGGCAGCTTCCTCCTATCTGACCTGGTGGTTTTAAATCACAGGTTGCTATGACCTCTCTGCTTGGGTCAATGGATTTACCTAAATTCTGTTTCTTGTGATCCTGTCTATGCCAACTCTCCACAATCTCACCTACTTTCTCCCTAATTTTACTGTAACTCAGACTACTAACTAAATGCTCACCTACCGATGATTAATAAAACTTTAGCCTTCCAATCAACAAATCAATTTTTTTTAGGGTGTACAGACATACATAATGCAAAGAATTGCTATGAACTTTCCAAGTCATACAGGTACTGATATGTATACTCTATTTTTTGAGGAAATCGTCCTGTCATGATTGCAACTTCAATAGCCATCACTGTCTTACTGTTTTGTATACACCAGGCTTTTCTCTGTAAACATCAGATTATCCATGCTGAAGGCTTCTCAAGATCTATAATCTTTCTGAAGTTAAATTCTATTCATTTAACTTTTTGATTTTTGGACCCATTAAATGTTCAATCCATTAAATGTTTGATGGAGACTGTCTAAAGTGTAAATTTACTGTCTTCTTCAGAACAGTAAAATAGGAACCAATATTGTAAGCATCCAAAATCCAGATTACACACATGCCATAATGCTTGCTGCTGTGTAGCTCCTTGCTATGGTTCTCCATGGCTTTCCACCCTTGGTGCTGAGAGGGTCAGAACTGCCCTCCTTACACTAAGCCTGCACCTAGCAGGGAGTGCATACTTGCACCATATCAAGCTCTGACCCAGGAATTTTAGACTGAACACTCTTCATGAGCTGGCTGGTCAGCTACGCCCTGGTTAACCTCCCAGTGGTTAAAGCTTTTTCTTCACATAGTTCTGTAATCTTCCCCTTTGGGAAATGGCTATACTCCCTTTCTCTTACTGTTTTCTTTGAGTCTGTTTCTATGGCTGAAACACTAATTCAAACTGCTAATGTTACATTCAGTCCACCGTCTGCCAGCCACATACTGGAGTTTTACTCAGCAGTCTCGTTTTCAGCCTCTCGAGTTCTCTTGAAGCTTGTAGGTGCTGCTGCTTTGCTCAGGTCACTGCTCTGCGTCCCCGTGGATGTGGAGAAAGGAGCGCTTTGGGATACAGCACCACCTAGTGAGGCAAACCAGCTCAGGTCTTCATAGGGACTTGAAACCGATGCCACCAGCAGTACTCACAGTGGCATAAGCCGCCTTTCAGACGAGGCCAGTCTTTACTAGTCATCTGGAGTCCGTCACAGGAAGCTCCTTGGCTAGCGTAGCAAAATCTTTAAATGTAGCAGTAACTGCTCTCCAAGCCAAGTTCTCATATTTCAGTTGTCTTGTTAAACTTGTCTCTGTACCCAGTGATTTCTAAATCCCAGCATCAGCACCCTCATGCCATGTCTTTTCATTGCAGGCTTCGTTTTCTGCTGCCTCCACAGAAACCTGAGGAACCTGCTCCATCTTGCACTCAGCCATTTGCTCCCACCTAAATGCGTAGCCATCATCGCTGGAATCAACTCCACGCGTATGATCGCCTGTAATGGTTCCTGCTAGCACCTTCCTTCCCATGGTCACGCAATACCTGCTGGGCGATGGATCCACACTACTCCAGTAGGTAACAATACAAAATCAGTGTGTAAAATGCGTCAGACACGTTAGTCATAAATGAATTAAAATTTTTGCATATTCCCCGTAGTATCTAAACGATTCCGACATCATTTCTCTGGCCTGGCTGGTGCAGTATTTTCTGATTCCCATCATTCAGCATGCCGATGCTGCATCTCTCCGGTCATTCGAAGGATAGTTGCTTTACTATCATCTATGAATTACCTGGATGCACTTTTCAGGTACTTCTTCACTTTACCCCTCCCTATTGATCCTTTTCCATTCAATGCCAAGAGACTGCCTGCAACAGGCCCCGGCTGCTGGGGTCCATTCCACATTGCTAAGCTTTCACTTTCATGTTTTCAATTAAGCCGTCCCGTATGCTCATCACGACAATGAGCACGGCAATGCAGCTGGTTTCTTTCCCTCCCAAACCCCTTTACCATAATGCCCATAAAGAACTTAAAAACACATAGGTTGCTATGGCCGCCTCCTGTAATGTCGATAAATCAGGCCTGGTCGTTTCCTAGCTTGCCATCTTTTTTTAAATAGACAGATATAACCACTTAGAGAGTTAGCGTGCTTTCTTCTTTCATCTGTGGCCGTACAGCAGGCCTGCTTAGTGATACAACCAGTACATTCAAAATTACACAGCCGGTGAAACCTATCATTGAAAAGCTGTCCCGTGAGGTACCTCCCGGCCTTGGCCGAGCTCCCCCCAGCAGCTTTCGCCCAGTGAACAACCTCGATGCTGCGACACCTCTTGCTAGCAACCGCTATCGCCGCCGCCATGGCACATGGTGCCCGTGACGCTTCCTCCAGCACCTCTCAGCAGCACGGAGCCTTCTCTCAGAGAGAGAAAAAGGCTCTGTCACCTGCCTGAGAGCAGGCCGTCCGCCTCCGGCTCTGCGAGACCCTTTGCCCGGCCCCCTGGGCGCTACAGCGCAACCCCCGAGCCGCAGCCCCTTCCCGGTGGGTGAAGGCTGATTTCCTCCCGCCTCGAGC